GAAACTGAAGAGGCCAGGCACGGTGGTTCACGCCTGTAATCCTAGCACTCTGGGAGGCCGAGGTGGGAGGATTGCTCAAGGTCAGGAGTTCAAAACCAAGCTGAACAAGAGCGAGACCCCCATCTCTACTAAAAATAGAAAGAAATTAATTTGCCAACTAAAAATATATATAAAAAATTAGCTGGGCATGGTGGCACGTGCCTGTGGTCCCAACTACTCGGGAAGCTGAGGCAGGAGGATCGCTTGAGCCCAGGAATATGAGGTTGCTGAGAGCTAGGCTGATGCCACGGCACTCCAGCCCAGGCAACAGAATGAGACTCTGTCTCAAGAAAAAAAAAAAAGAAAGAAAAAGAAAAACTGAGAAAATGAGAACACTGGAAAGCCAAGTCTGTCCTGTGTAGCAATATAGCCATGTATCAGTGAGGACCTGGGACCCTTCTAGGAAAAACCAGACCTGGGGGACTGAAAATAGGCAATAAGCAAGAGGATCCACCAAAATAAGCAAAGAGTAGTGAGCAGATCCATCTTAACCGAATGTATATTTTAAAATTTTATTTTAGGGTATTATGAGGGTACAAACATTCTGGTTACATTTTATGTCTTTGCCTCACCCTAGTGAGGGTTAGAGGCCCTTCCCCTCTACTATGCTCACCGTGTCCTTTAGTTGTGAGTTTACCACCCACCAATCCCCTAATCCCTGGAGAATATTACTACCATGTGAGCACCACAGTGTTAATCAATCAGTACCAATTTGATGGCAAGTACAAGTGGAGCCTATTCTTCCGATCTTGTGATACCTCACTTCTTAACCGAATATATTTTAAAGCAACAGGAACCTCAGAGGCTTCACACTGGTCAGGGAATGATCAGGGAACAAGGTATCTACAAAATTGAGCGTGACACTTTACCAAGCTGCTGCTGCTGAATCCACCATGTGCCTTACCTAACCTACCCTTTCAAAAAGTAGCACCAAGGCCTTCTTTTTTTGAGACAGAGTCTCACTCTGTTGCCTGGGCTAGAGTGCCGTGGCGTCAGCCTAGCTCACAGCAACCTCAAACTCCCGAGTTTAAGCGATCCTCCTGCCTCAGCTTCCCAAGTAGCTGGGACTATCGGCATGGGCTATCATGCCCCGCTAATTTTTTCTATATATGTTTTTAGTTAGCCAATTAATTTCTATTTTTAGTAAAGATGGGGTCTCGCTCTTGCTCAGAGGGGTCTCAAACTCCTGAGCTCAAACGATCAGCCCACCTTGGCCTCCTAGAGTGCTAGGATTACAGGCATGAGCCACTGCACCTGGCCAAGGCCTTCTTTAAAAGAGTAATTTATGCTGGCTATAGAAAATTTGGAAAATAATATAATACCCTTCCAGCATTTTCCATGGACATACACGATTTAAAAACATTGGTAAATGTGCATACTGTTTTTGAGCTGGTTTTCTCAGTTAACATATGGAACATTTCTTCTAATTATTAAATATTCCTCTAAAACATGATTTGTAGTGGCTATTGTATTTTATTACAGAAAATAATTTCATTAAACGTGACCCTTTTGTGAGACAATGTTGTTGTTTTTCCTAGATCTGCATTCTAAGTATCAGGTAGAGATAGACTTACTAGGCCAAAAAGTAGCATCTTAAAAAAAACAAAAACAAACATTTATTTTTTTCTTAAAAAGTGACTTAAAAAGATTTTTAATGTTAAAAAATCAGAAATACAGAAAAGCACAAATAAACATCAGTTATAATTCCATTATTCTTATTTTGGTATTATACACATTGTTCTAATTTTTTTTATATATAAACATTCTGTATAAAATTAGGTTACTATGCAGTTTTATAATTGGATTTTCTTACCTAAATACAGATTAAGTACTTTCTCATGTCTCTGACTGTTCTTGTAAAGTGTGACTTTCAGTGGTTATAGTTTTCCACTATATGGCTATGGCATATATGTCATATATGCCATATATGGCTTGGTAGGATATGCCATATATGCATATATAGTAGGATATAAGCTCCACAAAGGCTGGTACTTAGTGCAGCCAAAGAACAATGCTCAATAACCATTTATTGAAAAAATATATGAATTTCATTAACCAACTTCTTGTTGCTAGATATTGAGTGTATTTCAAATTTTCACTATTAGAAGCATTCTTATACAGAACTCTTTTGGGACAGCTCTAATTACTTACTTTTATTTTATTTATTTCTTTTTGAGACAGGACCTTGCTCTGTCACCCAAGCTAGAGTGCAGCGGTGTCATCATAGCTCACTGCACCCTCAAACTGCTGGGCTTGAGTGATCTTCCTGCCTCAGCCTCCTGAGTAGCTGGGACTACAGGTGTGTACCACCACGCCCAGCTAATGATTACTTCCTTATTCAATTCCTAGAAGTGAAATTTAGTGGGCTCAAGGGTACACATTTGAAAACATAATTAGGACGACTACATAATTTATCTTCAAAACAGACCATTTCTGAGAGGACAAAGATCCCAGACCGCCCTGGCCAAACTGGGATGGAAAGTTACACATTACATGATGCCAAACTGTGCCTTAGAGGCTACAGCAATTTACATTCCTACTAGTAGATTATTATAGTAACAATTTCCCAACACTAACATTTGTGACTCTACTTTTAACACCATTTTAGATGATACTATCTACTCTAGCATTATTCTTTCTTTCTTTGGTGTAAAATAATACAAACTCCTTAATAATAATAATAAAAAAAACTTCCCCTTGGTCCAGTTTCTTGGTTTCAAGTTCTAGAGTTCTTTCAAGGGGTCTAAGTTCCTTTCTAGGTGTCCACAGACTATTTCTGTAAAGGAACAGGTCATGTCTTTCATGCTTTGTAGGCTCAACAGTCTCTATCATAACTGCTCAATTCTGTCATTACAGCATGAAAGCAGCCATAAATAATATGAAATCAATTAATGTGGCTGTGTTCTAATAAAACTTTATTTATGAGCAATGAAATTTGAATTTTATATAATTTTCATGTGTCACAAAGTATTCTTCTGATTCTCCCTGCCCTCCATTCCTTTAGAAATATAAAAACTATTCTTAGCCCAAGGGGGGTATGAAAACAGGAGATGGGTCATAGTTTGCTGACCGCTGACTTAGAAAAGGTATGGTAGACATTTAAACCAAGGGGGATTGCCTCATGTAAATGTTCTGGATTATGTAATTTTCTGTAAAAGACAGGTCATGAGTTGTATTACATACATCTTCAACTACATGTTTCATAAAAATAAATATAAACATAAATAAGAGAGAGAATTTCATTGTGCAAACAATTCTGCTCACCATCCTACTCAGTGAGCACGTTTTCTAGAGGGAAGCATGGGACGGGAGACAGGATGCTGCTATTCTATTGGCTGGCCTCAGTTTCCACGTGCTCGGGAGTGTAAATCTACAGTTTGGACATGTATTTTTTGTACATTTCTCCCGTACACAAGCCAATGCCTTTATCTGATACTCAATAAAGAGCAACTTGTTTTAATGCTATGGATAAATTATTGGATTTACTGAACAATTGTATGTTGGTTTCTTTTTTTTTTTGAGACAGTCTCCCTTTGTTGCCCAGGTTAGAAGGAGTACCGTGGTGTCAGCCTAGCTCACAGCAACCTCAAACTCCTGGGCTCAAGCAATTCTACTGCCTCAGCCTCTCGAGTAGCTGGGACTACAGGCATGAGCCACCATGCCCGGCTAATTTTTTCTATATATATATTAGTTGGCCAATTAATTTCTTTATATTTATAGTAGAGACGGGGTCTCACTCAGGCTGGTTTCGAACTCCTGACCTTGAGCAATCCTCCTGCCTCTGCCTCCCAGAGTGCTAGGATTACAGGTGTGAGCCACCACGCCCGGCCTTATGTTGGTTTCTGACGAGTCACATTTAATATACATTGTAGAAAATTTAAGAGATTTTCCCAGTGGTAATCTTAATTATATAAAAATTCCCTATTGTGCTAATTTTAGAACCTGGCTTGCACATAAGGGGTGGATCCATATTAATTCTTATTCCTTAGAGATACCTGTTATTACCATAAAATTCAATATTCAATGCCAGTAATTATAAAAAAAAGTAAAAAGGCAGAACAGAGATAAAAATTCAGCAAGACATGTCACAAGCAGGAGGAATCAAAGTGGCCTCTAGCCAGTCCTCCACACAAGCAAGGAAGGATGTTTCTAAGACCCCAAATAGTAATAAAGTAATATTGGCACATCATGTTTCTAGGAAGGAACACTAAATTCCTTTTTAAATAACAATACCACGCCCCCCCCCCCAGCAAGATGGTAGTAACTAATATCTTCATTTTATGAATGAGGAAACCTAGGCCTAGAGAAATGTAGAGTAACCTGGCTCAGGTATAGTGTGTCGAACTGTAGTGAGGGTACATAGACTAAAACTTGGTGCTTCATGCATTTTCCAAGCTGACCATTAGGCAAGACAGTAGTGACAGCAGTATCAAGGAATGTTCTCTTCCGTGAGACAACCACAAAGAATAACTAGGGCAGAGCAGGACCGGTGGAGGGCAGAAACAGAGGGCTTCAACAGCATGAACAATATAGCAAAAAACCAAACTAAAACAAAACAAAAACTAATCCCAGATACACTAACCCAAAAAGACAGAAACAGATCTTTAATTTAAAATTGAGTAAGTTTATTCACGGAGAAAGAGCAACAAAACACCCTCGGGACTTTTTTAGTCCAACAATTAAAACTGCATTAGAAAACCAACAGGGAGTTTGGAGATGAAAATGACATATAGAGAAACTACTGTTCCCCTTTCCTTGGGTTTACATATCTTTTAGGCAAGAGAGTCGTGATTACTTTTTTCTAGGGGACAAGATTGCCAGTTCCATTGTCTTAATGTGTATAGGATTCTAGAAGATGGACGAGACCACAGAATTTGATGATGACTGCAGGAGTTGAGAAGATGAGACCGATGGCTGGTTCACAGAACCACAACTACCACACATCACCAGATGCAGGGAGAAGGAGTACTATGGTTCCCACTGATAAAATCTGAGGTATTTAAAAGACTCCGCAGACATGGAAACTTGCTTGTACCTCCCTGAGAGGTAATGGTAGAGGCTGAGAAGGCTGTTGTGGAAGAACAATACCCCCTCGGGCTGACTTTTCAACATACATTAATGCCAACATCTAACTAGGATTGGACTAGGTCAAACACTTCTCTGAGCAAAGTGGTTCATCAGTTTACTCTTCAGGATGGGTTCCAAGGCAACAGTGTGATCAATGATGAGTTAGTTCTTCCCTGTCTCTGTTGTTTGGCTTATCTTGGTCCACGGCAATACAAAATAGCATGGCCATTTACTATAAGATGTGCTTGAGTAAAAGAATGGGATGTCCAAGCCTCAGCTGTCAGCGTCGATCCTAGCCCGTTTTACTGGGCTATTCTGGTCATCTAGATGGCAGAAACCTGTGGTGATGTCTCCTTTTTTGTCCTCCACAGGTTCCAAAGGGAAGTCCTGGTCTGTGGCCAGGACCTGTCGGACAGTCATGTTAACACGAGCAGTTTTCAAGTAGCTGGCACACACCTGCCAGTCCTCTACAGAACAGGGCTCTATCACTGAATCTCTGGGGAGGACAGCCGGCAGAGGCATCTCTAGGCAGTGAGGCAGGCTCTCCCCCTCTGGATTTGGAAGGACCCGAGGGACTGCATGGTTCAAGAGGCGGCTGAAACCTGACATCACCATGATGTCACCACTGTGCATAAACATGGCTGTGGGGGCCTCATCCCTTTTGAGACCTCCCAGGAGAAAGATGGCAGACTGTCCAAAGCTACAAAAAATAGAAAAAACATGGAACAGTAAGTTTCTGTTGCCAACTGCATTATCTCCTAATTTCAGCTTGATACTTACTTACTGCTCCCAAATCCTCTTTAAAAAAAAAAAATAGAGACAGACTCTGTTGCCCAGGCTGAAGTGCAATGGCACCATCATAGCTCCCTGCAGCCTTGAAATCCTGGGCTCAAGTGATCCTCCCACCAGCCTCCCAAGTAGCTGGGAATATAGGCATGTACCACCATGCCCAGCTAATTCCTACAATGTTTTTTTGTATAAAGATGGGGGTCTTGCTATGGTTACCTAGGCTAAAATCCTCTATTTTAAACTGTGCTAAGATCCTTCTCTTCTGGCTTGTGTCTATGAGTGACCAAGCCATGATGTTACCTATATTGTGACAGTCCACAGACCTGCTGCAAAATAAAATTTGATGCGGTTAAATAAGCAAATGAAGAATTTAGTTTTAACATTATCAGTGTAAGTTTTTTTTTTTTTTAAAGACAGAGTCTCACTCTGTTGCCTGGGCTAGAGAGCTGTGGCCTCAGCCTAGCTCACAGCAACCTCAGACTTTTGGGCTCAAGCAATCCTTCTGCCTCAGCCTCCCAAGTAGCTGGGACTATAGGCAAGAGCCACCATTCCCAGCTAATTTTTTCCTATTTTTAGTTGTCCAGCTAATTTGTTCCTATTTTTAGTAGAGACGGTGTCTCGCTCTTGCTCAGGCTAGTCTCCAACTCCTGACCTTGAGCAATCCTCCCACCTTGGCCTCCCAGAATGCTAAGATTACAGGTGTGAGCCACCAGGCCCGGCCTATCAATGTAAGTTTTACTGATACATCTTTAAGCCTTTCAGCAAAATTATTTGAGTCTTTTACTATGTTTATCATTCTTTCACTTTAAAGATAAGGCAATCAGTAAGAGGTACTTTCTTCATTGAGATACAGGTGCAGTATTGTGCACAAATTATGTTTACGAAGATGAGGAGAGTAAACTACTCAGGCTTTTGTGTTTTGCTCTATATTCTGCCCTCTATTCCAAAAAAGGTCACTTTGTTTTATAGTCTACCACTTGCTTACTCCACAGAGCACTGACAATACCTCATTTAAAAAGGCAGAATCCGGCTGGTGTGGTAGCTCACGCCTGTAATCCTAGCACTTTGGGAGGCCAAGGTGGGACGATCGCTCAAGGTCAGGAGTTGGAGACCAGCCTGAGCAAGAGCGAGACACCGTCTCTACTAAAAATAGAAAGAAATTAGCTGGACAACTAAAAATATATAGAAAAAATTAGCCGGGCATGGTGGCACATGCCTGTAGTCCCAGCTACTCAGGAGGCTGAGGCAGAAAGATTAGTTAACCCCAGGAGTCAGAGGTTGCTGTGAGCTAGGCTGACGCCACGGCACTCTAGCCCAGGCAACAGAGTAAGACTCTGTCTCAAAAAGAAGAAAGGAAGGGGGAGGGGAGGAGAGGGGGCGGCAGAATCCATTCATCCTAAACAGAAATAGTAACTGTAATCTGGTCATTGCTCTTAAAAGTCTAGGCTAATTTTACTTCATGATTAATTGTCAAGATTCTCAGAAGTGAAAGATTATAGAGTCCAATCATTTTTTTAAGTTTTATGTTTTATTTACTTGAGTTTAAAAGCTTAGAAAAAATAATTAAATGATAACAAGTAAATCAAAATCCCTGGAAGTAACTTACCTGAATGACAGTAGGGGTTTGGAGTGGTCTAGTTCAGATTTGTCTACATGGATTCCCAGCGTGGAGTCCAAGCGGTAGTAATTCAGGATACCTGCTTCGGCTCGGAAACCTTGAAATCCACAGGCAGCAGCTACTTGCTCTGAGAGGAAAGCCAGGTCAGAAGGAAAGGTGTATAATGATCTGCTGAATATTTCTTGGTAGGAAAAGAATACAATGATCTCAGGAACACAGGAAACTATGGTATAAGATTAACTACCACCTTAAAATCATCTAGAAAGTAATATATACATAGCATTATCTATATACATCCATTCTTGAGGCATCCAGTAATCTAATAATGAACATTAAAAAATACTGAGCACCTACTATATGGCAGCACTATGCTATACAAGGATAAATCAGGCAAATTTACACTGCATGGAGTCTACAAGAAACAATCACACTACCCCCTCTAGTTAGCACACTTTAATCCTAAACAGGATAATTCTTTAGGGCAAAAGGCAACTCAAAACTTTTGCTGCGAAGAGGTCCTAAGAAAACATAATGACCAATACAATGTAATGCCCTGGATAAGATCTTGGAACATAAAAAGGATACTAGCTAAAAACTAAGGAAATCTGAATGAAGTAAAGATGTCACCATTATACTCGTGTATTACTAGTTATTAACTAAGACAAAGAACCATATTAATATAACATGCTAATAATAAGGAACTGGGAATCTCACTGTACTATCTTCTCAACTTTTCTGTAATCTAAAACTATCCTAAATAAAAAGTTAATTTAAAAAAAGGCAACTCAAATAGTATAGCCAGTTTGGTTTTGGAATGCTCAGCTTGCAACATGGCTTAGTGCCAATTTCACTATTAATCTGATGGAATGATGTGCTCAAAACACATGAATTAACTCTGCCTTATATTATGACCAAGCAGACTTTAAAACGGATATAACTTTCAGCCCTTATTTCCCAAAACTGCCTGTTTTTAGCACCTAAGAATCACAAATCTTTTCACTAAAAAAGAAAGAAAAGAAAATAAAACAAAGCAATAACACTCTCTATAAAATCTTTCTGCATTTCATGAAATGACAAGGCTGCAGACATGATTAAGATTTTCACTTAGTATCCTATGCAAATGAGTCTGAAGGCTATTTTGCCTATGTGTCTCTGCAGTGCCTGACACTCTTGTTTTGTTTTTCCTCTGCTCTCATTTCTTACTTTTAAAATCAACTCAATTCTGGTCAGAAAATCCATTTTGTCTTTTATCTCCACTAGTGTCCTGATATATTCTAGCTAGAAGAATAGAGGTACAAGTCTGGACAGTCTTTGGCCCTAAGTGATCTTTAACTTCGGGTGTAAGGAATACTTTTATGAAAGACTTTGATGGAGTGGCCTTTCAGTTGGAACTTCTCTGTTTTTATTTTTCTCCTTTTACTGAAGTGCAAATAAGGAGTTCCTATTTATTTCTCAAAACTAAAAGTGTAAAGAACTTTAAGATTTCTCTATGATTTTAAGCTTTAGTCCTTCAGAAATCAACTAGTCAGGGCTGCTGTTCTAGCTCTAAATAGCCCTCGTTATAATGAAATAATTATCCTTTTGGCTTTCAACCCTATCTAAACTATCTATGTACTACTCTTTAAATTCTCTTTCACATTTCTCTGATTACTCATTTAGAGATTTTGGCAATTTCACTCCTCATTTTTCTTAGTAAATAAGGCTAACTTTTGAGGGCCTTGAGAACAATAGTATCTAAATAAAAGTATTATCATCAAAAACTATAGCTAACATTTCGTGTGTGAATGCATTTAACTACTTAGACAGGCAGGCACTGTTGTAATCACTTTACAGGCATTAATCACTTAATTTTTACAACCGCCTTATGAAGTAGGCATTATTATCATTATTGGAGGCAGGATTCAAACCCAGGCTATTCAAACCAAAGAAAATCACATGGCTATTTCCTCAATACAAATATCTAGTTTTCCACTGAATTGTATGCTGAAAGTAAGATTTATATCACGAATATTTTTAAGCAATACCTGTCATTATTTGGAGCAGTTAATATATCTGTTAATAAGTTGGGCCAACTGAAACTATGGAGCTTTAGAAGGTAACTGGTTAGTAGGCAATGATAATGTATATACTAATATTTTATTCAGTTCACTCTTAGAATCAATCCTTATACTTGGTGCAAACGTCTAATTCAAACAAGAGACACTGTGCTGCTGATGACAAAGAAGGTATTTTCTGACACAGAGGACAGGAAAGAAGAAATTGTAGCTTAAGAAAACATGAAACTTTATCAACTGTAGGAAATTCTTTCCCACCTCTCTCCCGCCCAGATGTTATACAGCAGGCAAAGGTATCCAGATATTGAAGGTTCCTTTGTGAATTGATGAAAGAGAATACTAGAAATATATGGAGCTGCTTTTACTCCAGACAGATATTATGTAGAAAATAAATGCTCAACAAGTTCTAAACAATAATGGAAATAAAGATAAGTGAGAATTGCTTTTGAAAGCAGCAAAGAAAAATCTAAAACCTACTTTGGGAAAGCACTGATGACTTCTGATGCAATAATATAACCTGAGAGCACATGAAGAAGACAGTTTCTCCTGATAAATTATTCATTCCTCTTAGGATACCTGCTGAAGATTGTGTTAGAAGGAATAAATAGGATCCTCCATAAATGGATGATCTGGTACTTAAAGGTTGACCAAGAAGAAATCTATCTATGTGGACCCAAGAAGAATACAAATGGAAAACAAAGATTAAGAAAATCTGAATACTTATTGTCCCAGTTATAATGGTAGCCTAGGGTCACCCAACGCAGTTTCTCTAGTAAACTTCGAGGCCGCCGTTTATTCACTTCTTTATCCTGCAAAGATTGGTGACAAAATAGGATTTATTATCTCAAATGGTAGCAATAGCCCTTTGTATAGACCCTGAAGTCTAATTTAATATTCCATGGTATAGCCTGTTAGCCAAGATTACGTAGGGAAATTAGAACAGATAAATGAGTTGACCAAGAATACAATGACAGTAAAAAACACATTAGCACTTCTAATTTCTAGTCTTGGCTATAAATCCCTGCTGAATGGATGAAGTTTAAATGATGAGTCTCTAGTATCTCAATAATGAGAAAAACAAGAATGACAATAGGCTGGGCGTAGTGGCTCACACCTGTAATCCTAGCACTCTGGGAGGCTGAGGCGGGGGATTGCTCGAGGTCAGGAGTTCGAAACCAGCCTGAGCAAGACCCCATCTCTACTAAAATAGAAAGAAATTAATCGACACTAAAAATATAT